GTGGTGCTATATTATAGAATGCTTCATATTGGTAGATTTTTTAAATTAAATTTTCTAGTTCATTATTAGATATGTCAAGTTCAACTGAATAATGATAGTGGATAGAATTAATTGGTGAAGTAAAGAAGAATTAATGCAAGTATGTCAGTATAATGAAGAGTCAAAAGAATTATAATGAAAGTATTTATCACTATAAAAAAATTTGGAATATAATGTATAATAAAGTGAATATATAGACAACTTATTAAGTAGTGTTTTAATTTTAAAAGACTTAAGCTGATTAAGTTTGAAATTGGTAAGGTTGTATATAGATTTGTGATTGTAATTAAAGTAAAGCCATGTAGATCTCTAGTCAATTTGTTGATTAAGTGAAGACTATTCATTATTTCATTTTTGAGATGACTATATAGCTAAGATATGAGCTTTATAAATAGTTTTGATAAAGTATCTGGTGGAGTATTCTACTAGATACAGTTCATTTTCCCATTGCAAAAGATGGTATAGATTGTAGATATTAGTGTGATTAAAGTCTAAAAAGATTTGAAAATTGTGTTGTTTAGCTAGTGAATCAGCTAAATTATTAAAGGTATTATTAGCATGAGCTTAAATCTTATAAAAAATAATATGTAATTTAAAAGATTGAATTAGGTTAAGAAGTATATGCTATAAAGGCTATATGTTAAATTTGAGATGTTTGTTAAGATTAATAATTAAAGAGCTAAGCTTAGTATATTTAGAAATAATAAATTAAGAATCTGTATAAATATTGATAAAAAAGTTGTGTGAAGTAGTCAAAATAGCAGATAAAATAGATGAAGTTCAGCTTTGTAAAAAGTTGGCTATAAGTGGGTTTTGGCTGATAATTTGTAAATTATTTGATTATTATTGTCTATTTGAACCTAGCCTATATCCATAGAATACTGATTAGTATCTATATTAATAACTGAGCTATCAATATAAAAGTTAAAGATGTTTTGAGTTGAATTAGATAATGAAATTTTAATTAATTTGTTAGTTTTGTCACTAGGATAAAAAATTTCAGATGCAGCAAAGAAGTAGATAGAGATAGATGATAGTAAAGAGAGTAAAGCAGAAGGTATTGGATATTTAACAGCAGTAAAAAAAATAAGGTCTATATAATTAGCATTAAATTTAATTGAATTAGAAAAGATTCTATCAAAGAATTATATAGATATAATAGCTGATATATTAATAGTACAGGCTAAGATAATTCTATTTGAGTTAAGATTATAGTTAGGATATAGGCTGCAGTTAATAAGTGGGAGTGGATAGAATTCAGTATTATATATATTAATATTTGTTTGCTAGTAGATGATAGAGAATGTATTGGAGTCTAGATGATATGTTCAAATTTTGTCTATAATGATTTTATTTTTATTAAAGGAAAGTAACCATAGTTTAAATTTTTTAGAGATATTGTAGGTGTTGTAAGCAAAAATGTTGACATCCTGTTGTTAGTAATGTGTATATAAAGAATATTGATATTTGTTTTCAAGAACTATATCTTCAAGTATTTGAAACCATAGCGGTTCTCTTCCTCTAGATAAATATAAAATTCTAAGAGAGAGATGTTTTTATTCTAGAAGTGTAGTATTGTCAACTGTACATAATTGTTCAAGATAAAGTAGTTTTAATTTTCTTAGTTGATGTTTAAAAGCAATGTATTTTGGGCTGTTTATAAGTATTTTTTCTAGTGGATATAGATTGTATTTGATTGTATTCGACTATTGTATATTGGAGTTTGCAGTGACAGATATATTTAGGTAATTAAGAAGCTAAATAATCTTAAAGCTAAGTGTATATTTGTTTAGACTATTTATAATAGGTTGTAGATGCTGAAGTATAATTATAGTTGACTATAGGTTATTTTGTAGTTGTTATAATCTGATACAAGTTATAGTTTTTAAAAGGTGAGAGTTATTGATATGTTGGAGAAAGTTGGTTCTACCAACAAAATATCTCAGGCTAAAAAATAAATAAAAAATAAATAAAAAATAAGGCAAAAATAAAATAGCGATCCGTCGCTATGCAACCCCTATATGATCGACCAATCATTTTTTAGATTGTTTCGATCTGGATCCGATCTGGGTTTGATCTGGGTTTGATCTGGATTTAGATCTAATACTAAAGGTAATGGTAAATCTAGATTTTTTGTTTTTTGTTTTTTTTTTTTTTTTATTTCGCAATACTTTGAATTTTCTTTAGATAAGTATATTTTTTTTTTTTTTCTTTTTTTGTTACTATTACTAACTTCTCTCTTCCTTTAGGTCTTTTCGTCTCACCCTTTAGTGAAATGGGACTGGACCAGTTTTTTGGATAAGTGGTTTTTTTTTTTTTACTAGTTTGTTTTTTTTTGCTACGAGTACTAACTTTTCTCTTTTTTTAGCTGCTTCTTTTCTTGAAGTCGTCGTTCTTGGAGTTTCATTTTTTTTTTTTTAACGTAATATTTTTTTTTTAGTTGTTATATCGAATTTTCATTGAAGTCGTCACTGGAATCGTCGCTGGAGTCGTCGTTGGTACTGTCACTAAAGCTTTCGTCGGTGCTGTTGTTGGAGCTGTAGTTGGAGCCTCCTGAAGTCGCGTTTAGATTATCAGATTTTGGTGATTCGGTAGGTTTTTTTTTCATTAAGTTCTTCCACCAAGTTCTTCGTTGTTTTTCTGTGGGTTCTTTTGTAGGCTTAATAGGTTTTTCGTTGGGTTCTTCTGGCAAGTCATCACTATTTTTCAAGTAAATTTGTTGTTTTTCGGTGGGTTGTTCAATAACTTTGTCATTTTTTGTGGTTTCTTTCAGTAAATTCTTCGTTTTTCTGTGGGTTCTTTCAGTAAGTTCGTCATTCTCGGTCAGTTGTTTTTTGGTGGGTTCTTCTGTGAATTTTCAGTGAGTTTTCATTGAGTTTTTTTAGTAAATTCGTAGGGTTTTTGACGATTTTTTTTTCAGTAAATTCGTGAAGTTTCAGTGGGTTTTCAGTGGTTTTTCCAAGGATTCTTCATCGTTTTCTGGTGGTTCTTCCAGGGATTCTTGTCGTTTTTCAATGCTTCTTCCAAGGATTCTTCGTCATTTTTCGGTGGTTCTTCCAAGGATTCTTTGTCATTTTTTGGTGATTTTTCCAAAGATTCTTTGTCGTTTTTCGGTGGGGTTTCCAAGGATTCTTCATCATTTTTCGGTGGGGTTTCTAAGGATTCTTCGTCGTTTTTCAGTGATTTTTTCGGTGGTTCTTTCAGGGATTCTTGTCGTTTTTCGGTGGTTCTTCCAAGGATTCTTCGTTGTTTTTCAGTGGTTCTTCCAAGAATTCTTCATCATTTTTCAGTGGTTCTTCCAGGATTCTTTGTTGTTTTTCGGTGGTTCTTCCAAGGATTTTTAGTCGTTTTTCAGTGGTTCTTTCAAGGATTCTTCGTCGTTTTTCGGTGGTTCTTTCAAGGATGCTTCGTCGTTTTTCGGTGGTTCTTCCAAGGATTCTTCATCATTCTTCGGTGGTTCTTCCAAGGATTCTTCGGTGGTTCTTCCGTGGTTCTTCCAAGGATTCTTCGTCGTTTTTCGGTGGTTCTTCCAGGGATTCTTCATCGGTTTTTCCAAGGATTCTTTGTCGTTTTTCGGTGATTTTTCGGGTGGTTTTTTCAAGGTTTCTTCGTGGGTTTTCAATGGTTCTTGCCGTCCTTTGTTGCAGTGGATGGGTGGATTTGGTATTTTAGGGTTGTACCCAGTAGTGATAGATAGATTTGCCTTTTTTTTTTTTTTTTTTTTTTTATAAATAAAATGTGAAGTTGGCACCAAATATATAGAGGTTATGATCTCAGATGAAAATAAATTAAAACATTTGTGTAAAAATACATCGTAAAGATACATTGTTGATTTTTTTTTTTTTAAAAAAAATCTCTTAATTTGTTGGTCATGTTCTAACAATGTGTTAACAATGTATTGATGATTTTTGATAATAAAAAATTTGAGCAACGATATCTCCACCAAATTCGATGAAATTTTTTTAATTGAATTCTATGGATCCATAGAATTCAAATAAAAAAACTTTCATCGAATTTGGTCATATAATTGTGGAGAACTAAAAGTTAGAGAAAAATCAAAATTTTGAGTGAAGATATCTCCACAACCACCTGACTAAATTCAATGAAAATTTTTTTATTTGAATTCTATGGACCCATATAATTCAAATAAAAAAATTTTCATCGAATTTGATCAGATGGTTGTGGAGATATCTTCATTAAAAGTTAGAGAAAAGTCAAAACGCCTATCAAAATAGAAGCTATGCCAATTTTTTGAAAAAATTAGAATCTTTTAGTTCTATTTTAGGATTAATAAAGAATTCCATCCTAAATAATTGTTTCGTTTTCGCTTGAATAAAGTATATACTTATCTGAATCTTCCTTTGCGCATTGTCTTTGAATTTGACTTGTAACTTTAATAAACTCTTTCGAAACTCAATTTGACGGACTGAATTGACTTGTAACTTCGATTTGGCTTATTAGACTCAGATTCTGGAACAATTGTGGAATCAGATATTGCCATTCACCTTAGTGACTTGCGAGAATTGTGGTAAAGAACAAGGTTTACGATTGGTTATTTGACCCTGTTAATGACCCATGTGGACTTAAAGTTATTCCTGTTACCACTTGATCATCATCTGATTTTACCTCACCATCCTTATTAAAGTATCTCTAACAGCATCACCTGTAGTTTTTTCACCTCATTATGATCCCTCTTAATATTAAAGCCTTTGTTTCAGTGTTATATTGTCTCAATAGACCTTCAACAATTAAAAAGACACCCTTCGTTTTTTAAGTTTATTTTTATCTCCCTGTACATCATTGGAGTTAAATTGGCCCTTTATTCACATAATCTTATTAAGCTCTCCTATCAACATTTACAGTATGCGCATTTTCAGGTAATGGATTTTTGTTTTTCAATTTTTTATTTTTTTTTTTTTTTAGTCTTGTTACTAACTTCTTTTTTTTCTTCGTGGGTTTTCAATGGTTCTTGCCGTCCTTTGTTGCAGTGGATGGGTGGATTTGGTATTTTAGGGTTGTAC